TTGGAAGGTGTCGCATTGCCAAGCAGCCTGCAGACTTTGACCTTCGGAAAGGAGTTCAACCAGAGCTTGGACGGTGTCACCTTGCCAAGCAGCCTGCAGACTTTGACCTTCGACACCCAGTTCAACCGGAGCTTTGACAATGTCATGTTGCCAAGCAGCCTGCAGACTTTGACCTTCAGCCGGGACTTCAACCAGAGCTTAAAAGGTGTCATTTTGCCGAGCGGCCTGCAGACTTTGACCTTCGACGAGCACTTTAACCAGAGCTTGGAATGTATGATCTTGCCAAGCAGCTTGCATACTTTGACCTTCGGCGACAAATTCAATCAGAGTTTGGAAGGTGTCACATTGCCAGACACCATGGAGAATATGACCTTCGGCGAGAGGTTCAACCAGAGCTTAGAAGGTGTCACCTTGCCAAGCAGCCTGCAGACTTTGACCTTCGGCATGCACTTCAACCAGAGCTTGGAATGTGTCATGTTGCCAAGCAGCCTGCAGACTTTGACCTTCGACGACAGTTTCAACCAGAGCTTGGAAGGTGTCACCTTGCCAAGCAGCCTGCAGACTCTGACCTTCGGCGGGGAATTCAACCAGAGCTTGGAAGGTGTCACGTTGCCAAGCAGCTTGCAGACTTTGACATTTGGCTACGATTTCAACCAGATCTTGGAAGGTGTGATCTTGCCAAGCAGCCTCCAGAGTTTGACCTTGGGCAACGAGTACAACCAGAGCTTGGAAGGTGTCACATTGCCAAGTAGCTTGCAGACTTTGAGATTCGGCTTTGAATTCAACCAGAGCGTGAAAGGCGTGACCTTTCCAAGCGGCCTGCAGACTTTGACCTTCGGCTACGAGTTCAATCAGAGCTTGGAAGGTGTCACATTGCCAAGCAGCTTGCAGACATTGACATTCAGCTACGATTTCAACCAGTGCTTAGAAAGTGTCATCTTGCCGAGCGGCCTGCAGACTTTGACCTTCGGCTACAAGTTTAACCAGAGCTTGAAATGTGTGATCTTGCCAATCAGCCTGCAGACTTTGTCCTTCGGCGCTTGGTTCAATCAGAGCTTGGAAGGTGTCAGCTTGCCAAGCAGTCTGCAGACTTTGACCTTGGGCACTCGGTTCAACCAGAGCTTGGAAGGTGTCACCTTGCCAAGCAGTCTGCAGACTTTGACCTTCGGCAGGGACTTCAACCAGAACTTGGAAGGCGTCACCCTGCCAAGCAGTTTGCGGACTTTGACCTTTGGTGCCGCGTTTGACCCTAGCTTCTTGGACGGCATTACATTGACAAGCAGCTTGCGCGAGCTTTGCATCGAGGAATTTCATGTTCGCGTTTATTCTTCAGATCTCAATTGATGATGCCCGCGCGGTGCCTGCTGCCTGCCAATGACTAGCCGGGCGGTGAAGGACCTCGCAGATGAACGTAGCTCGAAGGATCTCAAAGGATGCGATTTGGATACAAAAAAGAGTTGTGGCCCGAGGAGAGACAAGCAAACAAACAAGCCTCTTTCCTCTTGCGCTTGCCATAGACGGTTGCTTGAAGCTGCTGCACTGAATTACAAGATTGCGTCTCCAAGCATCTTGGCCTGTTTCCATAATCGTTTCCCATTCCTGCATTCTCATCATGCTGGGCCAACAAAGGATTCACAGTATCAAACAAACAAACAGCAACACCAACAAACAAAAAAACAACCAACCAACCAACCAACCAACCAACCAACCAACCAACCAACCAA